CTCTCTCTCTCTCTCCCTCCTGCGTGTGCCTGGCCGCGTCCACTTCGCCTGGGTGCATGTCGCGCCTGGCCACCGCCCATTCGCGCCACATGCCCGCCCCCCTGCGACAACATGCGCGCGCTCCCCAGGACCCCCTCCTCAATGGAGCATGTGTTCCACCACGGCCCGCGCGCAAAACAAAAAGCACTGTGCAACTATATTACAAGCACACACAAGGACATGGTTTCTCAAAGGGCGATGCTGGCGCCGCCATAGCAGGGGGGCATCAGCCGTGACGGGTGGTCCCTAGCCCCGCCGCCGGCCGCGCGCGCCGGCCACAGCTGCACCGTCCCAGGCATCTAGGTCGGGCGCGGCCGGCCTCCGGTGCGCAGGACACACCCGCGCGCATACGCGCGCAGCGTCATGTGCCCGTGCACCGGCGCGACCCCGCCACTTGCCCCGGGAAGGGTGCTCAGCCACGGCCGGCGGCCACGGCCGGAGGGGGGAGGGGAGAGATGGGCACACACGTGCGCGCGCGCGCGCATGTACGCACCCTCTTAGCGGCGGGCCGCGCGGCCGCGGCTAAGCCGCGGGAAGGTAAGCGGCACGCGCAGGACATACACATTGGCGGTGGGCTTGTCGGTGGAGTTGGTGGCAGTGAGGTCGGCCTTGGAGTCGTCGTCCTCCTCGTCGACGAAGTCCCCCGACCCGGCGGAGGCGTCGGAGAAGGTGCGCGTGCGGCGCTGCGACGTGGTGCAGCCCATGTTCCGGAGGTAGGTGGCGATCCTGGATGCAGCCCCCCCGGCCGGCAAAAGCGCAAGCGCCGGAGCAGAAGCAGCATGGGTCGGTCAGTGGCCAAAAAACAAGACAAGCGAGGAGGGAGGTCCCCTCCCAGCCGCCGCCCCCCCCCCCCCCCCTCCTCCCCGGGCGGGCAGCATCACACAAACGCACTTCTTACGGTCAAGCAGCAGATCCGGCGCGATGAGGGCCGGGTCCAGGGCGAAGTTCTCCAGATGCAGGCACAGGGCCAGGATGTAGGACACCAGGAGGTCGCGCGCGAAGGAGGACAGCACGCGGCCCTTGATGGCCAGGGTCGGGCTGGCCCCCTCGTCGGCGTCCGGCTCGGCGGCGGCCTTGCTGCCGCCGGCCGCCGCGGCGTTGGCGAACTTGCTGACACAGCGAGCCGCGCCGTCGGCGGTCATGACATCCTCGAAGAGGTAGGTCAGCTTGTTCTCATTCTGGATGACGGACTTGGGCGACCGGAGCAGGCGCACGAGCGCCGTCATGTAGGCCAGCATGCGAAGGACCGGCTGGCTGGCGGTGACGGCGGCGTGCTGGATGCGCAGGTGCCGGGCCACGAAGTTGCACAGCTCATGCTCCTTGACCACGCGCTCGATCTCCGACGGGCCGCCCTTGACCGCGTCACGCAGGAGGGCGATGTTGATGCCGGCCTCCTCGGCCGGGGGGATGAGCACATCCAGGCGGTAGACGTCCTCCGGCGTGGCGGCCAGCCGGTCGAACGGCGGCAGCGGCGAGTCCTCGGACACGGCGGCCATCGGGTCGGCCTCCGGCGCGTCGGGGTCCGGCAGGTCGGCAGCCATGGCGCCCACCCGGGCGTCCAGGGTCTCGGTGATGGCCGACGCCGAGGACCGGAGCATGTCGACATTGACCTTGTTGCGCTCCTGGGTGCGGATCTGCGACACGAGCTTCCGCGCGCCGAACGTCTCGCCGAGGTCGTTCCGGCGGTCGGCGAGCTGCGACAGGAGGCGGGGGAGGAGGGGGGGGGG